GTCCAGTTTCGGCTCAGCATGAAGGCAGACTCTTCGGCATACTCGGAATCCGTTTCTGAAACCCATCTCATATTCCTCTTGGGTATAAACACGGACCTTGAGTAAAGCCTCAGCATCAGCCAGCTTCTTCTGGGTCTCCTCCAAGTCTTCCTTGGATTTCTTCAGCTCATCAGCGACTTTGGAGGAGGAACCCTTCAGCTCATTCAGCTCTTGCTGAATTTGGAAAGCCTTTGTCTGAGCCTGGGCCACTTCAACTTTCTGGATCAGCAATTGATCCTCAGCCTTTTGGAATTTAGCTCTTTGAGCTTCAGCAGCAGCAGCAGCCTCTGAGAGTTGGACGTCTTTGGCCAGGAGCAACTCTTCAGCAGCCATTCGGCTGGCTTCAAGAGCCTCTAGACGCTGCTGCACTTCAGCTTGTGCAGCAGTTCCTTCTTGAATTCGGCTCTCAATGGCAGCCTTGAATTTGGAGACGTCCACTCCCATATGCTCCTGGAGGAATTTTTCCCCTTCCATCAGTGGGGGAAAAACCTCCTTCTCCATAGCATCGCAGAAGGTTTTCAGGGCTTCGGCAGCTTTTTTACCGTACTCCTCAACCTCCTGCTGCTTCTCTTCAGCTGCTGCTTGCTTCAGCTTAGCAAGCTTAACTTCCTCTTCAGCCACCTTCTTTTCGTGCACAGCAGCGTCTACCCTATCTTGTAGGGTATCAATCAGCTCTACAGTGAGAGTCTGATTGTGCACGAACTGAAAACAGGAAGACAAAAATATATAAATAAAAAAAAAAATATATATATATATGAAGAGCTGAATTTCGGAGGAAATGAAGGAAAATTACCTGCATCATCAGCAGTTGGTTAGACCTGGCTGGGTCAGGAACTGATCTGCTGGATTCGCCCATCCCAGCAGTGGCCTTCAGCGACCAGATCCTTGCCCTGTCTACTTCGGACATGCCAGCAAAATTGCCGAAGTAGGCTGCAGCTCCTTCTCGGTTTTGACCCCATATGAGGTCCCAGATGTGATCTGGGATTGGAATTCGGGGGGCCGAGAAACCCATTTCTCCAGAATGCAGAGTCTGGAAAGAAGGGAAGGACGACGATGGAGCTTGATTAGCTTTGGTTGTCTCAGCATCGTCCTTCTCAGAGGAGTCAAGTACTATGACCTCCTCTTCTTCAGGGGTGAGGACGAAAGCCTCAACCTCTCTTGCGATATCTGCCGTGAAGCCCTCAGCACTGGACATCACGGCATCTTTATTTTCGTGCTCAGCAGCACTCTTCTTGATTTCTTCTTGGACCCCTCCCTTAGGTTCGGGAGTTCTCTGATCCACCTCCATCTCAGGAGGTGGCGGAGGGGTCTTTTGAGGAGATTGGGGTGTTGGCTGGGGAACCCTCGGCGATCCATTGCCTTCCTCAGGTTCCCTTATTGCGACGCCGATGGTCATCGGCCTCTGCTGAAAGTCATGAGGGCCGATGATGGCCATCCTTCGGCGCCTTTTCAGAAGGGGCTGCTCGTCCATATCTGAGTCTGAAGACTCTTGTATTTGATCTTCGGGACGAACAGGAGCTTTGCCTTCTCTGTGTCTGTTACTCTCTTCAGACTGTAACAGACAGGGGGGAAGAAGAGTGTGAGTAAAAAAAAAAAAAAAAAAAAAAAAATGAAATGAAAAATGAAAAGAAAAAAAAAAAAAAAAAAAAAAAAAAAAAAAAAAAGTTGTCTGAAAGCTCACCGAGGTTTTCAGCAAAGCCTCGTCTTCTTCAGCTGCTCTAGCTGCAGCTTCGGCCTCAGCAGCTCTGGAGGACCCTTCTCCTCCTTCGCAAGCCTCAAGTACCCGTGCAACCTCTTCGGCTGTGCGGGCAGCTTCAGCTTCTTCGTTCAGCAGCTGAAACCAAGGGTCTCTCTTCTTCCACCAAGGCTTCTGCCTCTGATACAGAGCAACAGCCTCAATTTGGAAGTGGGAAGAATCCAGATGAACTTCCCTATGCCTCGGCTCAGTGATAGACGGGGCCCGTTCAGTTACAACTCGCTCTCGGTTAACACCAAGACGAGCGTAGTTAATACCAACGTTGGTCTCGTCCCGCTCTGAAAAAAGGAAAGGGAAAAAGTTTAGCTCAGATATGTTGGCACAGCATAAAAAAGCAAAGCGAGAGAAGAAAAAGAGGTAGTTAAAAGCCTCGGCCCCAGCCGGAGAAGCTTACCATCCTTAAACTTTCGGCTGAGGCCAACAGCTGCTAGCATATTCTCTTGGAAAACGTAATGCGTATCGGGGAGCCAAGTCTCCGGGATATGCTGCATTCGACCACTCCCCCCCGGGTTCGGCAGCTTGCCGAAGATATGTTGCTGATCCAGGTTCGGATCCGCCCCGTTATCTGCGGGGGGACCTAGACTTCCCATTTCGGGATCAGGCTCAGCTAAGTACCGGGGAGCGCTGAAGACGCAAGGGTGGCCCGGATCTGTGGGTGCCCTAACCCAAATCCATTGACCTCTCCAGTCCTTGTCTGAAGAGTCATTTGGCCACATGGTCAAGTATTGGGGCCGGGACTCAATCCGATACCACCCAGAACCATGGCTTCCGTGCCCACTTTGAATATTTGGCACTAGCCGATGGAGCTTTCTGAAGCAGTGCAGGTTCGGCACGTATTTGAAGAACTTGCAGACCCATAAGTATGTCATCACCCTTCGGATGCTGGTGGGGGTTAGCTGACATAGGGAAATGTTGTAATGGATCAGCAAGTCTCGGACGAAAACGTCCAAAGGGAACCTCAGCCCATACTGAAGCTGTCTCGTGTACACCCCCACATACCCCGGGGGTGGACGATGGATTCTATCGGATGCTGAGGGCATTCGGCACCAATATCCATCAGCTTCAAAAATGCCGTAGTGCAACTCAATTTGCTCGGCAAATCGATATTGATCGGCGTTCTCTACCCACCATGAGTAGGGGCGGTTCTTTATCATGGCCGAAGCGACTTCGGCATTCTCCCACTCTGAAAACCCAGGGAGGATATCCCAAAGGACAGCGGGAATTTCATCGTCCCGTCCAGAAGCACTCGGCTCATCTGTTCTTTGAGGAGGAGCCGAGGAAAGGGGAGTCGCCCTAATCCCTTCAGCAGGGTCAGACTCCGGCCTTTGACCATTCCAGGTCCCAATCCTGTTCCTAGGATCGGGAATCGGCCTTGCTCTTCTTGGAGCACGGGCTCTACCTCTAACTCCTCTTGCCATGGATTATTTCGAATAGAAAAGTCGAAAGAAAAGGGGAAGGAGTTCGAATTCGAAGAAAAATAAACTGAAATCAAAGGAATTTACCTTAATCTGAAGCGAAAGTTGCCGATTTACGAGTTCGTAGTGGCAAGTCTCAGTTTCTAAGCTCAATGCTCGGGGAATTTGCGAAGTTTTGATGCGGGTTCTTGGTTTCTCTCTCGAAGAAATCTGGGTTTGTGTTGGTGAATAAGTGAGGAGAATGACGCGCCTCTGTTTATATCTCCAGGTACGGGATACGAAGAGTCTGTGCTTTAATTTCTCTTAAGTACCCACTAAGTAACCATTAAACACATGTCTTGTGATTAAACTGCCCATTATCCGTCCAACTTCCGCAAATCATTAACCGTTGTTATCTCATTAATTACGGTTTAAATTCAAATTTTTGGATCAATTAAATCATTTACTTCCCTCCTTTTCTGAGTTAAATCAAACCCGACCCGTCATCCTTCCAAATCGGGTCTGGGGGGCAAGTTGTTTGGGTCCAATTTAGTCAAAATTGGGCCTGAGCACTAAATGATCCAATTAAAAGCCCAAGGTCAAGGTTCAACTCTCCAATTGCTCAAAAGTCAAAAGTCAGCCCACAAAGTAAGCCAATTGGGCTAAAGCCCAATCTCTCCATGTATGATGAGGTATAAAAGCCATCATATTAACACATTCAAGGAGAGAGAGATTCAGATTCACATTCCAATTCATATGCTCATTCTTGCATTCAGAAATATTCCACAAAAGCCTCAAGCTACAAACTCTCTTGCATAGTGTCTTCCTTTTACACATTGTACTGACTTTAGCATTGGAGGGGCCTTCCTCGGAAACACCCCCGAGGCTAGTTTACGTGTGTTCACTGTGCAGGAAACCTTCGGCCCAACACAACTTGGATCGAATCCAGTCTTCTCCATTTCAGTGGACCTTCGGCAAGGTCCCATTGTTTTCAACCGAAACAGATTGTATGCATTTTGTTAATCAATTTCATAATGCAAGGCACATACAAAGTACGTTAGCTAGACCTATTCTATTAATATGTAAATAAATCATAATACAAAGTAAATCACATTTTATTAATACGATTAACTTTTTTTTAAAATGCTTGAGTAAGGCGACTTGTGTCATAGTTGATTTATCAACCCTCCCAATCATTATTTCTCTTCCATAACTCACATTAGAAATTTGCCTTCACTTTTTTTTTTTTGTCAAAATGGTACTCCTACCATATATATATATATATACTACTTCGTTTGCCTCCCTCTGCATTTGCGCAACAAATTTGAACAAATTGACAATTGTCATCCCATTAATTAACAAGCTGATCTGAGATGTAAAAAAAAAATGAAAATAGCTGAACTTTTTAAGGTCCATTTAGCACACCAAATAGTAACAATATTTAGTTATTTACAAATTCTATTGAATTAATACTGTATTGAAATTATGGTCCACTAACCATGCATATTCAGATTTTTCTCTAACCACTCTTTAGTTAGATAGGGAATCTGTTCTTTCAAAAAAAAAAAAAAAAAAAAAAAAAAAAAGATAGGGAATCTGTTATATATCCTTGCCACAATGATTTGCTTTACTCATAACAATTTAACAAACCACACAAATTCCGTTGTAAACGTCATAATTCCATTATTTTCATATATTTTTTTTTTGAAGAAACATTATTTTCATATTTAGTCAAGCGAGCTTCATTAAACTATTTGCTAATCAACGCTTAAAACAGAGTAATTAACAGAGTTACAAAGATAAGAAGAGAGTACAAAAATTATTCTACCAAATCAAAACTTCATTACTATCAAAATTTAACTACAGATTTCTTCAACTAGAAATCTAATTACATCCGATGTTTACACTCATTTCAGACTAAAAACAAAGATTATTAGCAACCCTAAAATCAGGCTAAAACAGCAATTAACAGAAAATAGACCTAATTCATCAAGTTTAGTGGACTAAGAAGATGAACAGATCACAGACCTTGATGAATATCATCAATCATCTCAACAACTGATTTCATCACAGGAGAAGGAGCAGCAGGCTCAGTAGATTGACGCACATCAACAGAAGCGGAATCTCCCACACCAGATCCATACTCACCGCTTGTAATCGGATAAAATCCTGACCGTCCAGTACTAACAGCAATCGATTGGCGGAGGTGAGGAAAAGGAGAAGCGAGTCCATGAATGACAAGCTTGGAATTGTAGATTAGGTTAGGGTACTTGATTTTGATGTAGTTGATTCTTACCGGAGACATCACACCGCCGCCGCCAGGGGTGGTGATTGTGAGAGTTTCGCCGGATTCTAGCGTCGGAAAAACCGTCGACACTGGGAGAGATTCGAGGTCGGCGAGTTTTAGCATTTGGTTAGGGATTATGTGGAATCGGACGCTGTGAACGTAGGAGTGGCCGCCGTGGAAGATTGTGGAGTCGTCGACGGCGAAGATCGTCATGTTGTGTAGAGTCACAAGCTCAGCGTACTTGATACGCATTGCAAGGGCGAGGACACTGTAACCGCTTACTCGGAGACGAATCATCGCCTCCGCGAGCATCACGCGGTTGAGCGCCATGGCAGGGTTAGGATGAGGAAGATTGAGTGACGTCATCTTGTCCATTGAGCAGGAGTACGGCGAGACGTGAGAGATGAAGCCTTGGAGGCCATGGATGATGACGTGGTCGCCGATGTAGAGGTCTGGACGAGTGATCTGAGCGCCGCTGATGAAGATTGCGGTGGAGTTGGCGGCGGAGGTGACGGTGAGGCAGCGGCCGGGGAGAATCGTCTCGATTTTCGTGCCGAAAATGAGGCGATTGAGGTAATCGCTAGGGTACAAGCCTGAGACGGTGTGCTCTTGCAGAAGCAGAGCGAGCGAGCACGAAGGACAGGTGCGAACAGAGGAGTCCACCGGAGCGAAGATTGTGATAGGGCCGAGCCACCGGAGGTGTGAGGCGGAGGAGAGAGAGAGCGAGTGCGACGCTGTTGCGAGCTCGTGGAAGCCGAGATCGCTGAGAATTTTGGTGATGGCGGTGAGAGGAGAGAGAAACTGAGGTTGATTCAGAGCTTCGGAGGAGGAATACGGAAATGGCGGCGAAGAAGGTGAAGGTGAAGGTGAGGAGGAAGATGATGAGAATGTGAAGGTGGAGGAGGTTGTATCAATGGCGGAAATGAGTGAAACAGAGGTGAGAATTGCGAAGAGGAAGATGACGACCTGAAATTGAGACGCCATTGTTGAGAGCTTCAAAGGAGGAGAGAGAAAGTTTTCTAGAGAGAGAAAAAGGGTAATGGTGGGAGTGTGGATTCAGGTGACGGTTATGGTGGCGGTATATATAGGCGCGAAAATGGATTCATTTAGAAATAGAAAATGTCCTTTCTCTTTCCAGAACTTTCTTTCCTTGTTTTAACTTTTATCCATTTGGGATTTTGCTCCCCCCCCCCTCCCTTTTTATTTTTTTATTTTTTATTTATTTATTTGTTTCTAATAATCAATGTTGAAATTACTGAGTACCATATTTATTTTAATTATAAAAATTAATTTTTGTAAATTTTTATACTACTTAGTAGTTGTAAAATGTCAAAAAATTATAGCAATTCCGTCAAAGAAAAAAAAAAAACAAATTATAGCAATTGAAATTGTAAAGATATACAAGCTACTACGTGACATATATGAGTGTCGATAAAAAAATTATACTTAATATATAATTTTAAGCTATTTGAATGTACTTGTATTAATGTATAATTTTCAAACTAATTTAACATATGGAGTACAAATTTGCCCCATCAATGCATCGCGTACATTCTCCAATCAATAATTTTTAAATACAAATTCATATTACAAATGTATACATATATATATGTACGTATATACAAACACTTTTATATGTACAATTGTTTTTGATATAAATTGTGAAATTTACTATGATTTCAATTGTGAAACTAAGCAATCTCATAAATCAAGGTTATCTTGGTAGCCTATTTTTGAGTATCCAAAAATTTTCACATTTTGAATACCTTCATTATATGAGGTTAGTCATTCATGAAGTTGTAAACATAAATCACACTATCAAGATGGTTAAAACAGGCCGAATAAAAAGGAAGTTCGAACAAAAGTTTGATGTTTGGACCAAAAAAATAATGATCTCCTAGCTATTATAGTGTAAAGTAACAAAATGTAAAAATCGTAAAAATTCATTGTTGTATGGTCAAACTTATGTCCTCATCCGCGATTTAATAGAATATAGTTAGCTTGTACGGAGTACTAAATTAAAGGAAAAGGGGAAAAGGGACAAGTTAAAGCAAATATAGAAATGATAATACTAGTATAAATAATAAATGCATATTCTGTAAAATTCATCTCAGGTATATTCTTTGAGGGTTACTAGTCTCACCACCAATCAATTTGATTAACTCAGAAATTAAAAACTTGCTGAGATTTGAAAATTTGAGAGTTTTTAGCATCACAAATATGCAACATAATTGAATATTTACTGCTTCTCAATCACAATATGCATAATTCCTATGAAGCCCTTTTCTGTTTATACTTCATGGCACAGAAGAAGTACACCAACAGGTTCAACAAGCTAAGAACAGCCCATAGAAAGAAATAATTATAAAGCTGACCCTTGTCTAGATTATCAGGTATCCACCCGGGTTTCCCCCCAGCAGTTGTGATGGCTGTCACGATTGTTAGGACAAGCGAGTTCAAGTAACTTCCCAATGAAGATGTTAGGAGTGAAAATGCAGTGCACAAACTTCTCATGGCATCGGGTGATTGATCATAGAAGAACTCCATCTTACCAATGTAGAAGAATATCTCTGCAGCCCCCATCAGGAAGTACTGAGGGATTTGCCAGAAGATGCTAACTGGGCCTGCTAGACGTCTGATCTCAACTATACCGGCAGCTAGCATGCAGAAAATGGAAATAACTTGTCCGATACCCATTCTTTGCAGCTCGGAGAAACCCTTTGGTTTGCCTGAAAACCTCCTGGCTACAGGTACAAGAATCTTATCGTAAAAAGGGACCCAAAAAATGATGCTCATTATACTGAAAGTTGCCAAGGAGGCTGCTGGGACTGTAAAGGATCCTACTGCTTTGTCCATGACCATTCCTTGCTCGATGAAAGTAGTCGACATTTGTTCATACACTGCTGAAAAGACAATTGCAGTTGCCCATATAGGGACCATACGGATCAACACCTTCAGCTCTTCGACCTGTGTTACTGTACACAATCTCCAACTGTTGGAGAAGTCCTCTGTTTTCATTTCAGTAGCTGACAAACAAGCTGCTTTATCCAGGAACCTGCAGAGATGCACGGTATGTTTAATCGCACAGAGGCATACTACATACTACAGATATGCAAGAGCAAGAGGGGAAAGAGACTTTTGAATCAAACAATTCAGACTTGCTAAATTATATAAAAACAGTCCTTTAAGCTTATCTATATTTTCTCTATAACTTATAAGATTTGATACTTTTCAAAGGAAATTGGTGATACATAAATAATAAGAAAGCTAAAAGATGCAAGTGATGAGAAAATTACTTCATTTCTTCAGTGTGCTTCAGCTTTCGACTTCCTTCAATTGCTGAATGTGTGTCTGAAGTCTCATACAGAAGACTACTATCTTGTGGAACCTCCAACTCGAATTTCAACACTGATGCAACTACAACCTGGCATATCCTTGTTAATGGACTACCACCTGGACTTTGAAACCGGTAGAGTGGAGTTCCGCAAAAGAAAAATACAATAGAAACAACCATGAATAAGGCAGGAATTCCGAACCCTATGCCCCATCCTACATTTTCTTGTATCCAAACAATTACAGTACTTGCCATAAGGCAACCAATGCTGATAGCAAAATAAAACCAATTGAAAAAAGATGCCTTCTGTACCCTCTCACTAGGGTCCGTATCATCAAACTGGTCAGCACCAAACGAAGAGATACATGGCTTAATCCCACCCATTCCTAGTGAAACTAAATAAAGCCCTGCATATAATATTGCATACTGTGATGGTGTAGCTGAAGGGCAAATGGAACCCTCACATTCAGCAGGCTTAAACATCGGAAATGATGCAGATAGGGTGAGAGTAGACATCCCCTACAAACGTAAGAACAGTATGTCATGAGAAAGAGGGACTTAATAGAGATATAAGGGGGCGGGGGTTGGACGTGTCTTTTATTCCTCCATCCCTAAAAGAAGTCAACATCTTGTAGTTTCTGAAATTCCACAAAGAAGTTGGCATTCCAATTCATTGAGATTTTCCTCTATTTTTTTCTTTAAAATTGGGCCCCTCACCACCCTTTCTCCTTGATATCTGCCAAAAAGATGTTGAGCTTACTTCAGGGACAAAGGGAGTATCATTTTAATTTGATACTGCCACTACGATGCATGATAGCAAATGCACATAGCAGTCAATAGGATAAAATTGATGAAGAATATTCAATGATCTCATCAGTTTTAGCCTAACATGCAGAAAAAGTAGAGCGAACAAGAAAAAATCAAAAAATTACGAGGAAATGAATCATGGAGAACACAGCAATCGTCCAATATTTTCCCCAATATGCATCAGCCAAAAAAGCTCCAATAAGAGGTGTTATGTAACATGTGCCTGACCAGGTGGAGACCATCTTTGCAGCGGAGACATTTCCTTCATGCAATTTTTTGGTGAGATAGCTAACCAGGTTTGTATTGACACCATAGAAGGCAAGACGCTCACAGACCTCATTACCTGTGCACAGAAGGGGAAAGGAGGCAGGGGAGGGTTAAACAGTTAGGACTTGTAATTAGAGCATTCGTAAAAACATATTTAATGTTGCACAAATACTAGCATTCTGCAGTCCAACACACCAAGAATGAAAATGCAGGCTTTCCAGTTTCCAGTTTTGCTCTTGAGGACAGGCTTCCCTGAAAAATCTAGCGAGCCATCTCCAGCAGTTAAATTACCATGCTCCTCCTACAAAGATATATATACAGATCAGGAGCAGAGAAGTAGTCCTTCAAATCTGCAAAGCATTACCAAGACTCTAAACAGCGGATATTTCACAGTCGATACTGGTGTCAACTTGAACAAAGTAGATATCAAAAGAAATCTCAGCTTATCAGCTGCAATTGTCAATGGCTATTGGCTAGCAATTCATAAGAAGCGTACATAAATAACTCCTGATTACCAGTTCAGTAATTTGGCCGTCCAAGTTGTCTACTAGATTGACACTTTTCAAAGGACTAATAACTTTATCTAACAGGATTAAGATTGATACATACTTCAGAATTCATTCTTGCTGAAACAAAAAAATACCCAAGAATTCTACAAGTCAAATGTCTCACTGACCCATTTAGGTTAATGCAAGGAAGTATAAGAGTGAGTTTTACATTTGAAATGATTTATAATCTGACGCAGGCAGCGTATGAGATTTGGCCAATTGGGTTGACAAGGCCATCTCACGCAAAATTTTGCCTGGCATGAACATGAGCCAGTCAGAATCCAGGCCAATAGCAGTAGCTGATTAGCAAGACTCAAAGAGTACCCATCTTCTTGAGCTTGAGGTAGTCAGAAAACTCAATATTCCATTTTTAAGACTGTTCTACAAAATTGCTCCATTTCCGGATTTGATCATGGGGACCACATACCACACAACTGGCCCGGCCACTTTTGCCTTGTATCCATCAACTCCACTCAACCAAATATTATCGAAGTAAAAAATGGCTTGAGAGCAAACAATTAAGGACAGAGGAAGTAGTTATAATGGCGAATAAAGAAAATAAAATAAATACTTTATGCTTATAAGAATAAATTATCTTGGATACTGCAAAAACCATATCTTAAGCAAAATACCACCCCCATATCTAATCCATAATATCTAAACAAAAAATTCAGTAAACAAACATAATCCTCCTACAATGATGTTAAGCTAGACACCCCCAACCCGAAACCCGAAACCCGAGTCGTTTCTGTGCTACATAGATAAGATTAGTAATTGAACCAACTCCGATTTCCAAACAAACAACAATTTTAAGACATAATAAAAAAACCAAGTATGGAAATTCAACAAAGAAAGAGGTAAATCAAAGAGTAAAAAACACAGGAGAGTGGAAATACCTGAAGAAGTGCATCTTCCAGAAGAAGTAGCTGATCATCAAGAGTACCCATTTCTTAAGCAACCTGCTAATGTCTTCTTTCTCTCTCTAAACCTTGTAATTACTTTCTTAATCCACTTTGCCTTCAAACTTGTATCCACCATAGTTTGAGTTTAAAATACTTTAAAAAACATTGACGTTCTCAAATTCTACTGTATAATAAATATAAAATAATTAGTATAATACATAAAACATTAATATTTAGCGTATTTTCATTAAATAACAAATGACATAAAGTCATGATATGACGTGTGGAGCAATTTGTGACATTGACTTGCATGATATTTAACATTTAAATTTAAGATGGCCTACTAAAATAAAGTCTAAAAATGAAAAAAAATGTGTTGGTTGAATAAAACGGCATGATAATTGCACAGTTTATTGCGTTTAGCTTTAGTAATTTTCGTTTAGAATAAAAGATGTTGTATTATCTTCTTACCAAAAGAGAGAAAAGAGGGGTTAACAAAAGACAAAAACTAAGGGTCAAGTTGAAGTATCCTCTTCTTCCTTCTGAAAAGGTTACCCAGG